TAAGCGAGCGGTGGCCCGGACTGCCCACACCTATTGACGCGGCCTTCACTATCAATGACCACACATATGGGTTGTCCACTGTTTTCATTAAAGTTAGAAAAAGGTTTTTCTATTGTAATGTGATCTAAACGGAAACTTTCAATTTTAGGGCAATCAATGGATTCTCTACAATAAGAAAACACAACAAACTAATGGCACAACAGATAATTGGCCGCAATTGCCATCAAATAGTCGTATTATGGCTGCAATGGATTTCTTCAATGCGTCGATTGCTCGCAAAGACAGAGGAGTTTTTGTGTTTTATGATTCAAATCAACTAAACATATATGAGTTCCACGACATCCAGAAGCCGACTGTTACTTACTCAGGGGAGGCATTCTTGCGCCATCATTATCTGACTTTTCTGACCGGAATTCGTATTACTAATACCAATAAAGTCACTAAAATTAGTCAATTCATGGATGTGAAGGCAATGATGTCCAACAAAAAACATGTCATCATATTTGGTGACAAAGAATACTGTTTGGCAGACAATACAAAACATGAGCCATCAGTAAGTCATTCATATATTCTTTAACTTGTGTGTAAATTAATCAATATAATACGATAGTGTCCTAAAATGGATTCAAATGCAACACAAAAGCTGTTTGGTTGTCCCCGAGCTAAGAGACCCCTCACAACCACGATGTCGACCATCGGTTTAGAAGTGGTTGAAACTAGTGATGCAAACGTGGAAACGACAAGTCGTTTAACTGGAGGCGAATCACACGTAACAGACCCTCACAAGACTCAATGGCCTCTAATCGCTACAATGGTTGTTATATTTGGTGTCATTTGTGTCATCGTTTTCACAATCATTATATTTGAGGTGAAAAGAAGACGTAAAACGACAGAAATGATTGATAAGACAAACACTAAAATGAATGAAACGCGCGATAAGAGGGGAGAAACAGTCAATGAGTCCCACAATCCAAAGCCATTAGAAAAGTCGGACGAAGAGTCCACTAGCAAAGAGTCTCTCGAATTAGCGATGGATATGATTAACAGCTCACTAACGGACAGCTCAACGAAACAACAAATCAATGAAAAGGAGACAAATGACACTCAATTGGGAAAAGTATGAACATTTACAACAAAAAAGTTGTCAATATTTTAAAGCCAAGTTTAATAAACTTTTAAATATAAAATTTTAACAAATTCAAATTCATTCATCTATTGTATCTGTTGTTAAATTAATATAAAAATTTAATAATTGTAAAGTATTATAAAGTTTCTAAATGAACTCTTTGGGAACAGTGAGGAATTGGCAGTGATGAGCGGCACTGGCTATAAGTCGGCGCAAAAAAGTGGACAAATTTGATCGCATCTCGAAATCTGGTTTCATATCAATCAGCACTAACTCTACGGTTGGGAAAGAGAGCCGACAATTCATGACGAGAGCGAAGTGGCATTCCGTGGGAATAGCATCCGAGCGCTCACTCGAGAACTCATTTATAATACTCTGTGTGACATATCTCTCTCCATCAATGACTGACTTTTGTTTCATTTCTTCGGCACTAATTTGTTGTCTAAACTGCAACCGCGTATTCAAATCAATCACTCGGTTGTCGAGATCCCAAAGTTTAATATAAAATTCAACGAATGGTGATAATTGTCCAATAATTAAATCCCATTTGGCCAACAGTTCACAGTCCATGCGATAGACATCTGATAACCAGAGGAATGTTTGTTCAGTTAAACCATTGGCTATTGTCTTCATTATATTAACCGTTGTTCCGTTCAAACCTTGTTTTAATATATGGTCTAAATTTATATAACCGATGAAATGTTCGGGAAATATATAACCATTTGGTGTGGGATCCCATTCAACACATAAACTACTTAATCCCCAATAGTTGTCGTTTGGTTCGTGTTGTGAAGAGTTTTGGGCATTTTTTTCATTAAATAGTACCTTAGAATTAGATATATGTTTGAAATACTCGCAAAACTTATCAAATGTTTGAATATTTAGTTTTGCGCACAAATTATGTGTCAATTCAAAGGGATCTTCGATGCAAACGATTGGAGTTAATTGAAGTTCATTTTGTGATATTTCCTGAATTTCATGGTCTGTTTGTTGGGTTTGATGATTCAACCGTTGATACAAAAACGTAATGAAATTTATAACCATAACTATAATATAAATAATTGTCATATTCTTATTGAAAACAAATTACCGTAATTTATAAGTTTTCAAACATTTTAATCTCATTTTATGAATAATTACTAAAATGTCTTAATTATCAGGTGTTTATTCTATACGAAGACTCAACCATTTAGTGATTGATGAAAGCGATACTCTCTTTGACGATACATTTGGTCACGAAATAATAGATCTGTTGGGAAATGTAATCGTAAGTGATGTCCAGTTACTGTATATGATATTGTTACTACGGTACCATTGTTTAAATTGATTCCGTAGTCTATTACATAACATTTTTTATACGGTATTAATTTGAAATGCAATCATTTGGAAAATATGAAAATCTTATAATAGATCTAAAATATGTAAATGTATTAAATGTGATGTATTTACCAAACCTATGGTTAGGTGAGAGATAACGCCCAACAGACAGACAACGAAACCGATTGCGACGAACCGAAGGCTGAGTCGGGCGCTGGTGGCCTACAACTGGTGTGTGTGAGCGCAACAATGCCTAGAAATCTATCACAAACTCTGGGTAATGTTGTCGACATCGACGACAACTTCGACACCATATCTACTCGTTGTTTGCATCACATTATGCCTCACGTGCGGCAAGACTTCCATCGAATCCACAAATACGACCGACAGTTAAAACTCTTAGAGTTAGTCAAAAAGGATGTGAGAACCGGAAGGCCTGTAATGGTGTTCAGCAATCGCTCCGATTCCTCCAATTGGATCTATCATTATCTCAATGATAACGGCATTCAATGTCTTAGACTTAACAGCGATATATCAGATGAGGAGAGAAGTGATCAACTCATGCGATTCCAATCGTCACAATGTAATGTCATTTCATGCACTGATTTGGGCTCCAGGGGCTTGGATACTGTGAGGGTTAGTTAGCACACTCTATACTACCATTTCACTCATTAAATGCTTTCAATTGATTTAAATTTAACACTTTATATATTTAAAGGTCAGACATGTAATCAATTACGACTGTCCACACTATGTGTCGGATTATATACACCGGTCGGGCCGGACAGGACGTATCGGCTCTAAACACGACAGTCTGGTCACCACTTTTGTATCGTTCAAACCGGACGTACATATGGTTAAGAGGTTGGAGTACGCCTTACGACTCAATCGTGCCATCGATTCAGTCGACGCCAACATTAAACAACAGATCTCTGAAAAGATGGCATCAAATCAATTCAAAAGAGCCAAAGCGCGACAATAACTATATTTATCAACGCATTCATTAGATATACCCTATATTTATGTTACATATTAAACATTTTAGTCCTTAAAGTCAACAATTTTTTAATTCCACAATATTTTGTGGTTTATATTAAAAAGTAAATTAAATATTGATTTTGGTGTGAAAATGAGCAAAACTTTGTGGCATTGATTTAGAGCCGATCGCATCATTTACTTCACACATAGTCTGCTGAGCGATACTAAAGGCCCGATTATGGCCATCGGTCAACACTTGTTCCAAATATGACTCGTCGGCCATTAGTCTCAAGACATTGTCTCTGATTGGTTTCAAGTGTTCGACCACTAAATCGCTTAAGACTTGTTTAAATTCGCCGGTATTTCGGCCCATATTTTGGTGACAAACTTCTTCAGGTGTTAAGCCACTGATTAATGAATATATTGCCACTAAATTACTGACTCCTGGCCGGGAGTCGGGTTCGTATGTCACTTCTGAACGCATATCAGTGACAGCTTTGCGTATTTTCTCGCGAATCCGATCCGGACTATCGGTGATCTCTATTCTCGACTTCTCATTCACTTCCGATTTCGACATTTTCTTATCCGCTGTCCTTAGACTCCTTATACGACCCGTGAGTTCAGGACTGATAGCCACGGGTTCGGCAAATGTTTGGCTGAATGTTGTGTTGAATTTATGGGCCAAATGGCGGGCGAAGTTGAGGTGTGGTATCTGGTCGTCACCCACGGGAACGGCATTGGATTTGAATAGGAGAATGTCGGCCACTTGTAGGACAGGGTATAAGTATAGCCCGAGTGGTATGTCTTTCATGCCTTGCGTTTTGTCCTAAAATATGCCAAAATATGTTAAAATGTTTGCAAACATCACAAACACATTCAATAAATGCCTTAAACTGTGGGAACCGATAGAGTTGAGGCATTGTGGAGAGAGTGGCCAATATCCAGCACAACTGGCCGTGAAATGGTATGTCTGACTGTCTGTAAAGGACAGACCGGTTGGGGTCTAAACCGCAGCCAATCAGTGATGCGATCATTACTTTCATATTTCGTCTGATCTCTTGTTTATCTTGAATTGTGGTCAAAGAGTGCAGATCTGCCACACAATAGACAGTCTGCTGGACATTATGGTCGCACTGGTAGGCAATCCACTGGCGAATGGCCCCCAAATAGTTGCCTAAATGGAGAGCACCGGTAGGTTGTATTGCAGAGTATATGCGGTAAGTGTTCGTACTATCAGTTACTTGTGATAAACCCTTTAAAGTAATTAAATTTAGCAAACACGTGACAACGATTAAGCCAAATCTTACCCTGATATGTGTTGTGTTTAATAAACACCTTAATTGTGGTCTCAATAGTTGGTTAAACATTGCATTCATCGCACACTCAATGAGACGATTGCAGTGAAAATGAAAACATTGTGTTGTTTATGAAGTGAGTGTCACGTGATTGTCATGTTGTCTGTTGTCTGTTGTCTGTCGTCTCTCACAGTCTATTCATATTGTTTTGACAGTCAATGCATTCAAATGAGACACTCTTTGCTTGAAATGACTTTCATTTGATTGTGTGTTAACTGTGCCCTCAGTTTACTGTCATATAACTAATCCATGAAATGTATTTCAATAATAATTATAACAATAATAACAATAATAATGTCAATATGAATAGGAGGGGCCGATTCAGAAATAATAGCAATAGGTTTACCGGTAATAGGTTTAGGCCTTATTTGAGGGGCAGACACCCGGGTCATCGTAACTACGGCCACAACTATAGACATAATGAGGGCAATGAGTACAGCACTGGTCGGCCATACAGTGCACTACAGGGCGGCAGTGATGGCAGTGAACAGTCGGCTACTAATACACCTTACCGTGAGTTTGAATCACTTATTAAAGGCTTAATTGTGTTGAGATATAAATGTATATTTGATTATATATTCAAATGACACCATTTGTTAACCAAACTACAGCTCAAGAACCCAAATGTGAGACAATTGTGTTGGATTTGACACCAAATTGTTGCCAATTAACTGAACCAGTCTTAAGACAACACTTCCAACAGACTTACGGCACGATTAAGAAGATATGGTTCAACGCAACCCATAGTAAAGCGTTTATCAGTTTCTTTAATACCATTTCTGTGGACATGTGTCTTGAGAGTGGAGACAAACAAATAATTAATGGCATTAGTGTTGACGTGAGCCCACTTCGAGCCACAATACCTCCGGAACTGTTATCCAAAAATGGGGATCAAAGTCATCGGCTCAAGAATTTGTGTAAATCTGATAACAAAACACTTCAGACGACGTTTCCCACAAGACTCGACACAATTGAACCAAAACCTCAGTTCAGATATCATTTAAATCGAAATGAATTCAAAGAGTTGGTCCAAATTGAAAGCATTGATTGCATGTAAGAATTGGTGTTTTAGTCATTGTGTCATTCAATATAACTTATAATTTATTTGAATCTTCTATTTGTAGACAACTTGTGGACAATGTGTTGAATGCAACTGATATGACACAACAGTTGGATATTATTTTGACAACACTTTCATTGTCTGAAAGGGACTCCAAAAGACGACATGAACTCAAAGACAAATTAGAGGAAGTGTTAAATTTAAATGACTTCAACTGTAAACTACATTTGATTGGTTCTACAGTCACTGGATTAGCATTTTGTAACTCAGATATCGATATATTCGCCGAATATATGAACCAAAGTTTGCCGGAAGTGTTAACTTTCGAGATGTGTTTGAATTTATTGGAGAAAATTTGCGCCATATTTAGACGATGTCTTAAGTTCTTTATACCGAAACCCATACCAAGTGTCAGGTGTCCCATCATTAGCATCAGTTTCGCACAAATGTTTAAGAATAGCATCTTTTCCACACTTGATTGCGATATGAGTCTCACCAATGGTTTAGCCAAACATAACTCGAGACTTATTCAATATTATTGTCAATTAGAGCCACGTTTTCGACAATTAGCTCTTGTGTTGCGGTTTTGGGCCAAAATCAACGATATAGTCGGCGGTTCCCAACGCATGACTTCATATGCGTTCACACAATTAGTCATATATTTCTGTCAAAAGCGTGAGTTATTGCCATCACTAGACGCCATAAGAGAGTTATCTCCAGTGGATCCACTTATAGTTAAGGGATGGGACTGTAGTTTCACAGATAATGTTTCCATTTTACAAAGACAAATTAGAGGAAGTGTTAAATTTAAATGACTTCAACTGTAAACTACATTTGATTGGTTCTACAGTCACTGGATTAGCATTTTGTAACTCAGATATCGATATATTCGCCGAATATATGAACGAAAGTTTGCCGGAAGTGTTAACTTTCGAGATGTGTTTGAATTTATTGGAGAAAATGTGCGCAATATTGAGACGATGTCTTAAGTTCTTTATACCGAAACCCATACCAAGTGTCAGGTGTCCCATCATTAGCATCAGTTTCGGACAAATGTTTAAGAATAGCATCTTTTCCACACTTGATTGCGATATGAGTCTCACCAATGGTTTAGCCAAACATAACTCGAGACTTATTCAATATTATTGTCAATTAGAGCCACGTTTTCGACAATTGGCTCTTGTATTGCGGTTTTGGGCCAAAATCAATGATATAGTCGGCGGTTCCCAACGCATGACTTCATATGCGTTCACACAACTAGTCATATATTTCTGTCAAAAGCGTGAGTTATTGCCATCACTAGACGCCATAAGAGAGTTATCTCCAGTGGATCCACTTATAGTTAAGGGATGGGACTGTAGTTTCACAGATAATGTTTCCATTTTATAGTCATATATTTCTGTCAAAAGCGTGAGTTATTGCCATCACTAGACGCCATAAGAGAGTTATCTCCAGTGGATCCACTTATAGTTAAGGGATGGGACTGTAGTTTCACAGATAATGTTTCCATTTTTAAAGACAAACTACAGAATAACGACACGATCCCAGAACTGGTACAACATTTTTTCCATTTTTATGCTAACTTTGATTTTACCACTCAATTGATTAGCACTAAAAGTGGTTTAACTAAACATAAATCACTCGTCATATTACCACAAACCCAACAAACAGACCATGAAATTCAGGAAATATCACAAAATGAACTTCAATTAACTCCAATCGTTTGCATCGAAGATCCCTTTGAATTGACACATAATTTGTGCGCAAAACTAAATATTCAAATATTTGATAAGTTTTGCGAGTATTTCAAACATATATCTAATTCTAAGCTATTATTTAATGAAAAAAATGCCCAAAACTCTTCACAACACGAACAAAACGACAACTATTGGGGATTAAGTAGTTTATGTGTTGAATGGGATCCCACACCAAATGGTTATATATTTCCCGAACATTTCATCGGTTATATAAATTTAGACCTTATATTAAAACACGGTTTAAACGAAACAACGGTTAATATAATGAAGACAATAGCCAATGGTTTAACTGAACAAACATTCCTCTGGTTATCAGATGTCTATCGCATGGACTGTGAACTGTTGGCCAAATGGGATCTAATTATTGGACAATTATCACCATTCGTTGAATTCTATATTAAACTTTGGGATCTCGACAACCGGGTCATTGATTTGAATACGCGGTTGCAGTTTAGACAACAAATTAGTGCCGAAGAAATGAAACAAATGTCACCCATTGATGGAGAGAGATATGTCACACAAAGTATTATAAACGAGTTCTCGAGTGAGCGCTCGGATGCTATTCCCACGGAATGCCACTTCGCTCTCGTCATGAATTGTCGGCTTTCTTTCCCAACCGTAGAGTTAGTGCTGATTGATATGAAACCAGATTTCGAGATGCGATCAAATTTGTCCACTTTTTTGCGCCGACTTATAGCCAGTGCAGCACATCACTGCCAACTCCTCACTGTTCCCAAAGAGTTCATTTAAAAACTTTATAATACTTTACAGTTACTGTATTAAATTTTTATATTAATTTAACAGCAGATACAATAGATGAATGAGTTTGAATTTGTTAAAATTTTATATTTAAAAGTTGAATAAACTTGGCTTTAAAATATTGACAACTTTTTTGTTGTAAATGTGTTCATACTTTTCCCAATTGAGTGTCATTTGTCTCCTTTTCATTGATTTGTTTTTTCGTTGAGCTATCCGTTAGTGAGCTGTTAATCATATCCATCGCCAATTCGAGAGACTCTTTGCTAGTGGACTCTTCGTCCGACTTTTCTAATGGCTTTGGATTGTGGGACTCATTGACTGCTTCTCCCCTCTTATCGTGCGTTTCATTCATTTTAGTGTTTGTCTTATCATTCATTTCTGTCGTTTTACGTCTTCTTTTCACCTCAAATATAATGATTGTGAAAACGATGACACAAATGACACCAAATATAACAACCATTGTAGCGATTAGAGGCCATTGAGTCTTGTGAGGGTCTGTTACGTGTGATTCGCCTCCAGTTAAACGACTTGTCGTTTCCACGTTTGCATCACTAGCTTCAACTACTTCTAGACCGATGGTCGACATCGGGGTTGTGAAGGGTCTCTTAGCTCGGAGACAACCAAACAGCTTTTGTGTTGCATTTGAATCCATTTTAGGACACTATCGTATTAATATTGATTAATTTACACACAAGTTTAAGAATATATGAATGACTTACTGATGGCTCATATTTTGTATTGTCTGCCAAACAGTATTCTTTGTCACCAAATATGATGACATGTTTTTTGTTGGACATCATTGCCTTCACATCCATGAATTGACTGATTTTAGTGAGTTTATTGCTATTAAGAATACGAATTCCGGTCAGAAAAGTCAGATAATTATGGCGCAAGAATGCCTCCCCTGAGTAAGTAAAAGTCGGCTTCTGGATGTCGTGGAACTCATATATGTTTAGTTGATTTGAATCATAAAACACAAAAACTCGTCTATCTTTGCGAGCAATCGACGAATTGAAGAAATCCATTGCAGCCATAATACGACTATTTGATGGCAATTGCGGCCAATTATTTGTTGTGCCATTAGTTTGTTGTGTTTTCTTATTGTAGAGAATCCATTGATTGCCCTAAAATTGAAAGTTTCCGTATAGATCACATTACAATAGAAAAACCTTTTTCTAACTTTAATGAAAACAGTGGACAACCCATATGTGTGGTCATTGATAGTGAAGGCCGCGTCAATAGGTGTGGGCAGTCCGGGCCACCGCTCGCTTATCCAATGTCCCGGTTCTGATGAAACACCCGTTTCTGTATCCAATTCCCAATAAGAATCGCCTTTAAACCAAATTTCCAATTATAATCGATTAGTTGGTGTGTAATAGAAATTTAAACAAAAAGACCTTTAAATATATAGTCGTTTCCGTCATCTGCCACAACGGCCGCGTCTATGTATAGATCCCCACAAAGTTCTTCTTCCGGATCCATGTCCTCTGCCATCACATATCTGCTCACTATTAAGATAACCAATAAAACATTCATTTTATCTGAATATCTAAAGACTGAAAACTTCAAATACAAATATGGGATATAAGACTAATGTACTCTGTATGCCTATACTGTACTATAGGGATACAAATTTGTATTAATTTCAATTATAATTGATAAGTTAGTGTGTAATTTCAAATTACTAATTTGCATACTGTATTTTGAATTATTAAACAAACAAATTGTTGCACGCACTCAATTGTAACGGTAAACTACAGCCAAATAGAGATTTTCTGTATTCATATTTGATATCATATAATAAACCAAAAATACAAATTGAATGCAAACTTTTCGCGCTTTAAAAATTAAGATTTAAAGAATATTCTTTAAATGTATGACAAATTCAGTTAATCAAACACTTATTCATCGATATCTTATAGTCTTGTGATTTGCCATAAAATGAATGTTATATGGATTGCATGCATACTAATAGTGAGCGGATATGTGATGGCAGAGGACATGGATCCGGAAGAAGAGCTTTGTCAGGATCTATACATAGACGCAGCCGTTGCGGCAGATGATGGCATATATACGACACTATTTCTCATTAAACCAATACTTATATAAAAAAGTCTTTAATGTGTTTATAGGTAACGACTATATCTTCAAAGGCTCGTCCTACTGGAAATTAGACACGACAGTAGGTATTTCGGATGAGCCGGGACATTGGATTAGCGAGCGGTGGCCCGGACTGCCCACGCCTCTTGACGCGGCCTTTACCATCGATGACAAGACATATGGTTTATCTACTGTTTTCATTAAAGTAAGTGATTATCATATTTGAATCGTCTCAACAAGAATTGATCCTAAATTGCGTTCAAAGGATAAGCAATGGTTTCTCTACAATAAAGACAAACTCAAGATCAATGGGTCGACCGTCGAGTGGGAAAAGTTTCCAAACCATACAATTATGGCTGCATTTAATTATTACAACAAATCCATTGCTCTCAATGACCAAAACATTTTCATCATCTATAAAGAGGACATGTTCTCCATCTATAAGTTCCAAGACGTCCGTAAGCCGTCGTATCAGATGTCTAACAGGGCCTACAGAATCGGCAAATTCCTCTACTTCTTGGACGAACCGATGCATAATTACTCGCAAACCATTCGCGACTTCTTGAATGTCAGGGCAGTCATTGTCAACACCAAAAACCTCACCTTTTTTGGAGACGCAGACCTCTGCAGCGGAAATATCAACCAAATTAGTCCTCTGGTATGCCATCACTTATATGATAGTCTTTATTGCAATCAATCATTAGATTTACTTTCATTTCATTTATGAAACAAAAGTGCGAAACCTTTGGTCGAGGAAAGACTCAGCAATACTTTAAGTGTCCGCGACTTCAGAAGAGACCGACCACCACATCCACCACCACATCCACCACCACTACCACTACTGAACCGCCGCCCACCACTCCTAACGGGTCTGTGGGGGCTCCGGGACACGAGTCACACGACTCAACCGATTACGGGCAGACAAAAGGCGGCACAACTAACTGGACTCTACTCGTCATATTGCTGGTCATCATCGGTGTCTTTATTATGATGACTGTCATCGCTATTATATATGCCATCGCAACCAAAAATAAACCCAAAACACAGACAACTAAACCCAATATCAAACCAAATGATAGTCACCTACACCCCAGTGGTTCAGAAGAGAGGATAATCGTCGCAACAAACACTTCTGAGACCAACAAAACTCATTTAAAAGCCACCACTCGAGTGGACCCCAAAATAAGTGAACTCAATGTCCACCAAAAGGACGATCAAATCAATGTCGAGAAGAAGTCAGACACGACGTCAGAGAAGACCGAAAGTCCGCCCGATCTCAAGACACCGTCGACCAGACCCTCGGCCACAGAGCCTGAGGCCGCAGAGGCCGATGAGATGATGGAGAGGGTCCGATCCAAGGATGATGTCGACGACTAGTACTCACTCGTCAGTGCCACTCATTGCTCATCATTAATGTCAGTTTAGTGTCCTTTCACTCATTTGTTTCTATTTTTTGTATTCAAATCCTTTCTTATAATTAAAATATTTCGCAAAACTTTTGTTACAAATTAAAAATATTTGTTAAGTATTTTACAGTTAATAATAATACTACTAATTTAATTGTGGCAAATAGTAGATAATGGATGACATTCATGTCACATATATTACCAATGAATATAATATTTAAATGACTGATCAACTAATTACTTTTACTATTTATTAATCAATAATCAAATGAGACATTAATTATAGAGACAATACAGTAAATGGTAACAAATTGTATGTCTATTCATAGTGTCATATAAATGGATGTATGACTGAATGACTGCATGACTGATGATCACTGGATTGGATTCAAGTGAGGGTTGGTGTGAGTGTTGTGGCGATGAGT